AGAAACACAAAAAATACAAGCACAACACTAATGATTCAGATTTTACTGAATTATGTTACCTTGAAGGCAGTTTGGTTCATATTTCCACTCAGATAAGAGACTTTTCCACTTCTATATTATGTAACACTGTTTATAAAGGTAGAGAGCCAGCCTTGCAAATGCCTTGTAGGTGCTCCTGTTACTGAATGAGGCTTAGGAGTATTTTAATTCCCACACCCTTATTAAGGTTATAATACCTCAATAGGTTCCCCTTTTGGCTTGGAAAAAAAATCTCTATTCTTGGTGTATAGCTTTTTTTTTCCTAAGGTCCAAACAAAACAACTTCTAGTTCTTTTTTTTTTTTTTTTTAACAGCCTGGTCAGGATTTATATGTATGCTTAGATACATAGTTATGTTAATAACAGATTTTACTAATTAAAAACCTGTAATTGTATTATTGAGACACAACTTGATTTGTTTCTCCCCAATTTAAACAAATTGATCCATTTGATTCTCCATTTAATTAATAAAACAAAAAAAATTATAAATTTATACAATATGAAGTATTTTCTTTCAGCCAGTATGCACTTAATAGGGTGTGCACTGGTTCTAAAACAAAACAAAGTAAAAATAATTGAGAAACCTAGTGTTAAGGTAATATGTTGCAAAGTCAACAGCATACGAGTCAGGAAGGTAAATGTGGATTCTCAAGCAATAATCTACATTCAGCATAGGCAAAATGTTCACACTGCCCTTTTCTAGTGAGGAGCTACTACTTGCAGACTAGTTTGACACAAGGAAGAGGTTGACACAAGGAATAAGGTATGTACCCCATATAAAATATCTGCAGGTAAGTATTATAATCTTTATCTAAAGATAATGAAGATTAATTAAACTGGAATAAATAAATAAAGCCATTTGTAAACAGTATATATGAAAGGAAACTAATTATCTGCCAACTTTGAAAATAATTTAGAATTTTCAAGCTCCTGGTTTGGAATAATGTATTTCAATGGGGAAACAACCAAAACTATGTGTATTCCATTGTGAAGATGGGAAAAGAACAAGAATATGAAGGAAAGCTGAAAGAAATGGATTTGGGACCTAATTTAAAAGCAAATAATTCCTATCACTCTTTCCTTAAAAGTAATGCATCTAACTCCATGCATTGCAGCACTGCCCTGGCACAGGAAGATTGTTTTTTATTGAAGATGTGAAATGATAACTACCAACAAAAATACTTCACATCCCATAAGTCACAGGCTCGGTCTGAGCCCCTTTTTAGCTGCCAAAATGTATCTAAACAGTGATTTGAGTATTTTCACTTCTGCATGTACCTGCTTCCATCCAACTAGCCAACTTTTCATCTGTGTGAATGCTTTACTGTCTGTGAAAAATGATGCTCAGGCAACATTTATGTTAAGGTCTTCTCTTTATTGGTTACACTGAGGCACCAGGTCTTTTCTGGGTGCTTTGCAGACTGCAGTATGGCCACTGAGTGTCCCATGGAGCAGGTACCTCTTGTACAGCTGGGGAAAAGCTTTCCATCTGGAAGGAAATAAAGGTTTTCCTTTTTGTTTTAATTCAGCTCTTCTTTTTCTTGTCACTCATGCCACCAGTTAATGCATACCGAAGAAGGTGGGCATTCCAGTGCAATAAAAACTGAAAACATGAAGACCAACATAAGCTGCTTCAGCTGAAAACTGGTAGGTGCTACATTTTGCCATTACCTTCAACTACACAAGTTTTATTTCTCTCTGTGAGAACCTCCTTCCCTTCAACCAAAAGAAACACACTGATCAAATAAATGCAGCATTAGCATGGTTACCAGCAGGAAAGTATGGGGCACTAAACAATGAGAGTGTATTAATGCCGGTTTTACATTTGTTTCCAGAAAGTTTTTTTCCCTGAAACTTACTGCTCACAAGGCTTGTTCGTCAGTAAAATCACCTCATAGAGTCATAGAATCGCTTAGATTGGAAAAGACCCCTAAGATCATTGAGCTGGCTGTTAACCCAGCACTGCTGAGCACACCACTAACAGTCCCTAAGTGCTGCACCTACATGGCTTTTAAATACCTCCAGGAATGATGATTCCACCATTTCCATGAGCAGCCTGTTCCAATGCTTGACAACCCTTTTGCGGAAAAAATTTTTCCCAACGTGCAATCTAGACCTTCCCTGGCACAATATGGGGCCCTTTTCTCTTGCCCTATTGCTTATTACATGGGAGAAGAGACTGACCACCACCTGACTACAACCTCCTTTCAGAGAGTGATATGGTCTCCCTTGAGCCTCCTCCAGGCTGAACACCCCCATCTCCCTGAGCTGCCCCTGATCAGACTGGTGCTCCAGACCCTCCACCAGCTCCATTTCCCTTCTCTGGACTTCCTTCAGCACCTCATTATCTTTCTTATTGTGAGGGGCCCAAAACTGAACACGGGATTCAAAGTGTGGCCTCCCCAGTGCCAAGTTCGTGGGGAATGATCACTGCCCTGGTCCTGCGGTCTCACACAAATCTGCCCCGTTATTTCGGAGGGTGCAGACAAGGGTGGCCCCATCTGAAAGAGCAGGGCTGTTTTATGCCACAGCACAGGCTCTGTTCGACCATGGTCTCGCTCAGTCTCGCTCACAAAGGCCATCTCTGTTTGGTGATGTTTACTGTAGGTTACATCTGATATTTGAAACCCCGAGTTGTTCAGGCTCCACTGGGGCCCGAAGTGTTGTTACACACAAGGGTCAGTGCAGTGGTAACAGGGATAACAGCGTGTTCCTCAGGGGATAAATAACCCATGAAAGACACACTCCCCCTTTAACTCGAGAGGGGACCAAACTCCCCGGGGAGCGCCGCGCCCCCTCCGCCGCAGCCGGCCCGCCTTGCGCGGCGGGTCCTCCCCGGGGCCGGGCCTGCTGAGCTCGGTGGAGCTGCGCCCCGCCCCGCCGCGGGGGCCGCCGGGCGCCCGGGCAGGTGAGGGGGGGGCGGATCGGGAGCTGGAGCTGGAGCAGGACTGGGAATGCGGCCGCGGGGTCGGGGCGGGCGCATCGGCCGTGAGGGCTCGTCCAGCCCCGGCCGTGGGCACGGGGGCCGCGCGTCCCCGCGGGCAGCGTGTGAGGGAGGCCCTGCCCGCGGCCGCCGCCTGCGCTGCTGATCGCCCTCGCCGCCTGCTCTCGCTGCGCTCATCAGAGAGGTGTCAGGCTGGAGCGGGGCGGCAGGCTGGCTCCCGAGCGGGGGCACCCTTCAGGCAGTGTGTCTCCCCCGGGCCTTCGCCTGTGCAGCCCTGAGGGAATGCGGGCGCGCAGGGCTCTCTGCCATTACGGTCCGTATTCGCTGCTTCGCTTGCGAGGCGGCAGCGTCAGGCGAGTGTTTGCCCTCGGAGACTGTGGTACGCCGGTCCACGTGCAGTATTTAGGCCAGGGTTATTCTTTCTCTGAAGTTTGCACCTACTTTTGACTCAGGCAGTACTTGCAAGGTGTGAAACCTCAGTTTCAAGCTGAGGCCAGTGCAGCTTTTACTGCAGTTGTACGAGTTTGTAAGTATCCGTGGTGCCAGTGCCGCACCTTACATCCTCCACCGAGCAGCTTCTGATGCAGCAAACTGTTTTGAAGGCATAGCTGAAACGTAATTATAATGCAAAATCATACTGTTCATTTCTCTGCAGCGTCTTAATGTTATATGAGCAGAAGGTATGTTAGCCAAAGTATCTCAGCTGTCTTAAAGTACCGATAATCAGAATTAAATTGTAAGTGGCTCTGCAGGTAAACTGCTGAGCTGAGGTCAGCAAAAAGGGGGATCTGGGTGATGTTTAGTGGGGTTAGGTTTGAAGAAACTGAAGGGGAGGACAGATTTTTGAGACAGAAAGCAGTTAGCATTACCTTTGGTGATGCTGAAAGCGTAGCCTCCAGATAATGGGGTTCACCTTAAATCATAATTGCTTGTCAGTATTCAGGCTGACCCTTGACATGCTGCTGGGGGGGCAATGTGGACAGAAAATCCATGAGCCTGGAACGATGTTCACATGAGATGCTGTGACTTATAGGAGCTACTGGTTGTATTTGTTTTAAACTGTGCAAATCTAAGATCTGATGACTGAAAGCAGAGTTACATATCTTGCCTTCTGGGTTCATGCAGATAACAGCAGTTCAGAGACAAGAAATGCAGGGAGCTGTTATGCTGAGAATTTGCTTTGCCTTCTCAGTTGCTCTTCAATTTGACCGTGGTTATGAGAATGCTGACTTTAGGTGGACCAGTGAGTTCTGCTTGCAGTTTAGTACAGAATGCAATTTCAAGTGTAAAATAGCAGCACAGGGATGCATGTCTGACTGAAAATGTCAAGGAGGGAAGGGAAATAAAAATCCTGGAACTCTTGCTGATAATTTAGTCTCAATTAATTTGCAATTAGCATCCAGCTTTTATGTAAAATTGAAAAAAATAACCCTGAAAACAACCAAACAAGGCAAACCTCTAAGCAACCGGCAAATTTAGGACTGTGTGTGATAAGGAGATCCATGTTGTGTGATTGATTCCATAAGCACCTTTAATAGCCTTCTAGAATGGGAGATGAGCTTTCTGCAGTGGCCTGATGCTATCAGGACCAGGTATTTGGATTTGGTTTTCTTTACCAGCAGTTCAGCTGTCTTGGACTCCAGGTTTTTCGAGACATAGTTGTATTTTTCTGGCATTTAGTATTCTGTCTTAACATTGTTTCTGGGAAAGCAGCAGTGTGACCCAGTAGCTATAGTTGTGCAAATGATCAGAAATGGAAGTGGCCATTTTGCCCAGTTACACCATGTATAGATACACTTACTAGAAAAGGGGAAAGAATGTTTCCTTTGTCATTGAGTGGGAAGGTAGAAGTTGGCTTCTGTGCACTACTTTCAAACGTGCAATTGCAGGATTTTCTGGAACAGTTCAAGTTCTTCACTGCTATTTGCATGCTCACCATAATGTCATATACACATTCAATGTAAAGAAAATTCACTTAATTAGAAATCAGGGAGAACACACAGTTTCCAGACAATTCCACACCATCCATGGACAGCTTTTCTTTCCTTACAGCATGCTGGAAATGGGCAGAGCCATCAGACAGGGATTTCTTCTTGTTCACATGGTAGCTAGGGGCTTGCAGGTGCTACTTGAGGAATACTTTGGCCTAGCTTTATGTGTTCTGGGAAAGAGGAGTGTCAGCACCAGGCTGGCTGCCTTTGTCATTCCAGCAGGAGCTGTTGGTTACCCTCTTCCTCCTGGCTGATTTGGAGCATTGGAGGCTGGTGATCCCTGGGACAGTCAGAGAGGCAAGATGTTGTGTCTTACATGACGCAGGTGAGAAAGAGGGGACTCGATGTGCCTGGCACTCATCTGGCACACGGGTCCAAGCTGAGAAGTACTACTGAGCACTGTAGTAGAAGTAGTGACAAGTCCCTGGTGGCTGTGAAATGCCATATTGAAGTAGCCCAGTGAAAACATGTTTGGGCAGCCTCTGTGCAGAACTTGGCCCAGAATACCCCTACCACCCCACTGTGGAAAAAATCCTCCTGGAAGGAGAAGCTTGTGCTCCGGTGCTGTGCCTAGGGGAAAAAAAGTAGTCTTGCAGGTCTATTCAATTTGTGTATCTAAGAAGAAAAACATCTAGAGGGCATACTTGAGCAGATATTTTTAGTCGCTGTTAACTGGGCTTTCGTTTTGACAGTGACACTATGATATGACTGACTCAAGGAAAACAACAAACAGCCTCTTTATTGTTACAGGATTGCTCTTGGTAGGGGAGTAACCCGAAGAATTTCTTTACAGTGAAGACAGAAACAGAAGTCTAGTGCAAACACTACAGTGTATTTAAATAGCAAATGCTTAATTTCACCACAAGGCATTGTCCAGGGGTCTGGCATTGTGACCCGTTACCATCAGGTAACCTACTGCCTTGAACAGAGAACTATCTTGAAACCGGTACAGATGTAGACAAATTTTATGGCATGTTGAAATGGTCATCCCTGTTTTTTTTTTATAACCCCTAAAACGCAGCAGAACTTTGCCTTCATATATAATAAAACTTTGTTCAAGAAATCTCAGAAGGACACTGCAGCCAGTGTAAATATTTTTGCAGTTAGAAAATTGCAGTACTTGGGCAGTGCTTTACAATTATGGTGGAAATCTGTACATATGCACTTACATGTGTATATTTCTGTACATATTTGTATAAAAAAGAATACATTCAGTCTGGATATGAACCCATTTGTTGGATAAAAGAAGTTTGGGTCTGTGTGCACAAAACTAGCTTGACTGCACTGCAAGTGAAGGTTGGTAATTACTGGATTCCAATGGGACCACTGTACTCAAACATGAGAAAGAAAAAAAAATCAGTATTCTGCTTTGCTGTACTCAATCATATGAAATAAAAACAAAAGGAGGCCCAAGGGCCCTGTGTAACCTAATTCTAAATTGTAGCAAAGGAAAAAATTAAAAAATGTTCGAATAACTCCAGAAGGCCTTTGTGAATCAAAAGACTGAAGCCCAGGAAGTTTTCCATGCACAAAGACAGATTGGTCCTGGTGCACCATCAATATTTTGCCCTGTGAGCTTAAGAACAAAAAGAAAAGGAAAAGATACTGAATAAATATGCAATATTTGAAGTCAGTAAAATCTATTAAGATATATATGTAATGACTTACTGATTCAGGGGGTCCTCCTCTGAGTTATTCTGAATAAGAAGAACATTAGGCCAGAACTTTCCTGTTTTTAAGATTTGGAGGCATCATCTTTCTGCAATACAGTATGCAGCTAGCTTTAAATAAAAGAGTAAATCCATAGAAAGCAGTGTGACTGTGAAAGGAGAAAAGAACTCTCACAGAACTCTGTTGTTGTAGCTGAAGTCATGATTACAAAGCTTTTCCTTTTCTTTTCCATTAGTATCCACAGCTGGGGTTAAGGTGTGTGTACTTTAAAGCTTCAGCTTTTGAACGTGGTTGGTAGTAGCTCCTACTTTTGGTTTGTGGAACTCATCTCAAGGTGTCTTTTTAATGTCTTTGTGCGATAGGTATTAAACTGACCACAGAAACAAAAGACAGCCAAGATGATGGATCACATTGAAAGGATTTTTGAATAGATGGGTCTGAGTACACCCTTTGTAAGCAACAGATGATGAATGTCCCTGAAGGTCTAAGTAAGTAGGGAGGGAGGGGAGAATCAGCTTAATATTGTCCTTTTGCTGTCCTGACTCCTTCAGTAAGAAGCTGCTCCTCGGGGTGTTTTAGGGACTCATCGACAGCGTTCTCCCTCCCTCTGATGATTTCGTTAAAGAACCTGTCACCAAACACTGGGAAATAAGCTCTCCAAGCAGTTTGTTAGGTTAGAAAGTCAATGTTACTTTATTCAGCACTGAGGTACATGGGGGATCACTCCACCTAGCATGTACACCGATTATCAAAACTTTTAACTATTTGTACTTTTAACTATTGTTTTAGCAAACAAAGGAATAAGTGTTGATTGGCTGCAAGTTACATAGTTCTCCTATTAATTAGTATTCTGTCTTCTATTTGTTAGTGATTTCTCACTTCTCATGGTAATTAGTCCACATTTCCAGTCTTTTTATTATCTTTTCTCCCAGATAGGGAGAGTTTCAGTACAATTGCTGCATTGTCTTTGTTAGTTTTTTCCTTTATCTTTGTTTTCTGCAAAATATCCATGAAGTCTATATAAATTCTGCATTCCTGGTGTCCAGTTCTCAGCACTATCCCTCTCTCCTGTGCTCTGTTAACTTCCTCCCCCAGGTCTGAGAGCACCAACGCATGTCAAGCCCTGAACTTTAATTTGTTTTTCTAACACATGGACATCACCCAGAGCTTTCCCATCAGCTGCTGTCTGTTTCAGGGATTAAATCTCTCCTCGACGTTTTTCCCCACTGCTGCATAGACGCCTTTTTAAAGGAACATAACCTGTTTCGTAACAAGCCCCAAATGTGGAGGGCGGTGGTTAACGCCCTGTCGAGGGCCAAAGTCCCCGGAGGCCAAGCATTCCGCCCGCTGCCGGCGCAGGAGGGCCGGAGCCTGCTCCCTGGGGGCACCCACTGCTGCCAGGGTGCCGTGCCGGGGCTCCACACCGCCCAGCAGCTCAGCATGAGCCCGGGAATACAGAAGGTGGAAGCTTTGGACGCGGGCCATTTTGTCCGTGTGGAGTGGGACGATGGAAGTGAGAGCCGCTACCCCTGCGTCTGGCTGAGGGACAACTGCCAGTGTCCCCTCTGCTTCCTGCCCTCCGCCGGAGCGCGCAGGCTGCTCTTCGAGGACCTGGATGTGAACATCGTGGCGAAGGAGGTGGCTCTGGCAGATAGAAAAAAGGTATTTGAAGCGAACCGTGATTCACCTTCTTGTGAAACTTGTCTAGCAATGCTTATTAATCTGAATTAGAGACAACTCCAATTTATACTCTAACCACAGTTTGCTTATCCGCGAACCTCGTCAGGTAATTTGAAAAGCTTTTAGGAAAAAAAACCGCAATTTGGGGAACTCGCATCTCCCCACCCTCGTATGAAACTTCGCTTTATAAAGGCTGCAGAAACCCAGGCTTCAGCTTTTATAATATAATAATGCTTTTGAAAATCCTGCCGTGCGCTTCTGCGTCGCCAGATGTTGAAAGGCAAATTCAGGCGTTTCCCGCACATTTAATTACACCTACACTTTTTTCTCTCTCTTTGTTCTTTAAGTAAATGGCTTGAAAATCAGAAAAACAAATGGCAAAGTGACAATGACTTAATCCATAGCAAAGGTACCAGTTTATTAGCTAATTTCCAATGCACAAAAGTCTTCATCTTAGAATGAGCGCTCAAACTGAAGTTGAATCCAACAATCAGAATTGGCCTAGTGTCTGTATCTACCTATCTGCATTAACATTTGTTCCTGAAAAAGGGGAGGTTATTGAGCAAGAGAAGACAGGAATTGCCCTCCCTATGATTTTTAATATTTCCTGCCATATAAAAACCTAATATATCATTTAGGTTTTATATGTTTTATTAAAAGAAACACCTGGCTCCTTTGGCAAACTCTTTCCCTTCATTTTACACTTAAAGATGTTTTAAATGTGTTGAATATTCAGCAGTCAACCCTGGGGCAGCCTCACTGCAGGGGCAGTTTGCAGGGGCTAAACTGTGCAGGAGTGTGTCTCAGCCACAGCATAAGGATCTCTGGTGAGGAATTCTGGGCTCCCAAGGTCATTGTTTGTTACCAGAATTAACACAATGTAAATTCATTATTCTATCAGGAAAATTAGGGATTGTGTGTTCCACTCAGGGACTGATGAAAGCACAGCACTAATCAATCCTAAACTGATAGTGGTGATTTACCATCATGTGAAAGAGCAGAATTATGTGAAATGGGAATTGATACCTGCTCAACAGTCCTGAGAATTCAGCTTAGGGTCTGTGCTGGACTGAGCTCTTTCAGTTCATGGCAAGCAAAGCCATATCCTTTCTTTCCATGTTTTTTTTTCAGGGTTTAAAAAGTACAACACTTTTTAAAAACTTATTTGAAAAGAGGAAAGACTTTTCAAAAGTAGGAGAGGGATTTCTCTCCTAGCATTTCTTTTTTGCCTCTCTGCCTTGTTCTTTTTCTTTTCTCACAAGCTGTCTGTTTTGCAAGATATTTTCACTCTTCTGAGTTGTGGTGAAGTGCTCTCCCCAGAGATATGTGCCAGTTTCTGCCTTTTCCTTCTTCCTTTTAAGTGCAGCTCCCACAGTGAAACCAGCAAATTAGGTCATGGATTCATGTGAAAATGAGCATTTATAAAAGGCGTCAGAATTTGGATGATGTTCAGGTTATGTTTTCATTAGTTGTTTGCTGTCACATTCCAGGGAATGCTTAATTGTAATATTACCGATCTAAATATTACAATTTCTGCAATTTCTAAGAGGGATTTTTTTTGTTGTTCTAGGCCGTGTTTTTTAATCAACTTTTTTTCTTCTAAACTTGTCTTTTGCTTTGTGTTGAAAGATCTCCATCACGTGGCCTGATGAACACGCAAGCGAATACGAAGCTGAGTGGTTGAAAAAACGATGCTTCTCTGAAGAAGCCAGAGCAGAAATGCAAGCAGATTTATTTTTACCAGGTAGGAATTAAATCCATGTCTGTCCTGCTTGTGTCAAATGCAAGGCAGTCCTGGCTAGAGGTGCCTGTGTGAGGACCAGGTCTGCCCAGCTGGAGCAGTGGCAGCCACCCTTGGTGCCCAGTGCCAGGCTGTATGTGCACAACAGGGACCCGTTGTTACCTTTCCTAACCTCTGTACCTGAGAGAACTGTAACTGTTTGGGCTGCATTTACTTTCCTAAAAGCCTTTTCTTTCCAGGATAGGGTTAGTAGGTCTCACAAATGAGCCTTGTGGACCGACAGTGGCCTATGTGACAATGCAAGTGTGTGTGTGTGCTGTTTAAACTATTTAATTTTTTCTAAATTTTTCCAAAAAGAAAGATTATTTAGAATTGCAAGAGAGCTATAATTGAAATATTTTTTTTCCCTTTCTGTGGCTGCCTAGTTAAAAAATAACTGTGTAGTGTAGCAACATGTAGTGCTGAAGTTCAGGATGTGTTTGCTTTGCATCCCATACATGTTGCAGTAGTTGACAGTCTTTTGGTCACAAAGCGTTTTGTGCAGCTGTCTGTAACATTTACCCACTCCAAATCACTCACCCTTTTGAGTGAATAATTGTAACCCCACTAGGATTGGCAGGATGCACATCCTCATTTCTTTGACAGCCTTTCAGACTGTGAGAATCAAATGTGTGAAAACTTGCAAGATTTCTGCTGTTGCTCTTAACTGTGTTCCTGTGAGATCTGCTGTTGCAGAAAGCTGTGCATCTGTATTCAGGGTTAAGACAGTATCTGTTAAAATAGGATATTACTTTAGAAAAAAAAGAAACTAGAGGTAGGCTGATGGTGTGAAACTCAGATCCAGGTATCAGTTTCCTCAGAGCTTAGGAAAGGCAAATCCCCAATTGGTTTATGCCCTTTTTGGGGGTATTTTATATTCTAACAAATAAAAGAAAGTTGGTTTGTGCCGTGTTTTTTTCCCTGAAAGATGAGAAATGGGAAAATATGTGGCCCTAGATCTGTCCTGCATCTGAGCTTTATTTGGCATTTTAGGGACAAATGAAGAGGCCAGTTATATTTCCCAGTTTCTGCAGGTCAAATATTCCTTAGCACCCGTTCTCCTAAACAAAAGCCAGCCTTTTATATCTGGTTTAAAACTTAAGTGATGAGTAATATTTCTATTCATTCCAGTGGATCCTATAACAGACTCTTCATAGTAGAGAAAGGAACAGTTTTTCCCTGGTAATATAAAAGTTTGTGTCTATTTTAGTTTTGGCAACAATAAACTACTGTGTTTACTATTTTGGAGGGTTGGGCATGTTTCCAGACTGAACATGGAGAAGATGCAAACCTCATTCAGGGAAACTAGGCTTGATTTCTCAGGGAGTTGAATTTTTATTTGTAAAAATGAAGATGCTGTGGAAACTAGCAGGCTACAAAACCCCTTTTGTAGCCTCTGAGGGATCAATGTAAATTGAACATTGCTTTAATTAATACTCAGGCAAAATAATCTAGATCTCTGGTTATATTTATTAACAAAGATATCGATAGTTAAGACTTCAGTAGCTGAGATTTCAGTATTTCAGATGTCATGCTACTTTTTTCACCCGTTATGAAGTCTAACTGGCTGTGATTTGTCTTCATTCATTCATTTGCACAGAGCTTACTCCTGGCTTCTAAATACAGTGCATGTTTTGGAAGCCAGTTCTCCCCTCTGCCACTGCTCTTCTCCAGTAGAGCCATCCAGGTGAAAAATATACACCAAAGATCTGTTTTATTTTTTGGGCAATGCTTTTTCAAATTCTGTTTCACATGGTAGATGTGAAGAAATACGTTTATAAAAATTACACTAATTAACTAGCCTTTTTTAGTGGTGTAATTCTGCTGTTCCTCATATTCTCAGAAAAGCTTTGGCTCATTATGATGGACAGCTTTTCCCAGCTTTTCCCAGGTTTCAGCTGCAAACAAAAAGGCTGCAGCCTGTGAGTTTGCTTGCTGGCTGGCTAAGATCTGTTTCTCATTGTGCATTGGGGTAAGTTTAGAACTCGCTTCCTTGTGGTCAGGGGAGTTACACACTGCAAATTACATGCCCTTAAGTAACTAATCATATCCCAGCAGTATAGGATTACAGACAATGATATGGAATACCAGCCCTGCATGCTGGTTCAACAAATAGAAACCCAAGCCCACCAGACTGCTGTAGTTAAAGGTTAACCTTCACTGCTGACATTGTCACAGCAGTGGCTATTTCTTTTCTATTTTCTTTTGCAAGTGGTTACTTGCTTTTAATGCCGCTTTTTTGTTTTTTTTGTTTTGTTTTTTTTTTTAATGTTTTTCCGTCATGGTTTCTGATTCAAAACCCCTAGATGTTGGGGGTTTTATCAAACCCAAAAAGAAGAGTAGGTCAGATTTTCAGTGCATGATGAAGTGACTGTACGTAGCTGTGTGGCAATATGTCAAGGCTCCCCTTTTAAAACATTGCCAAATCCTACCATGCAAAATGCAAAATCTCCTATTTGTGTATATCAAGGCTCATTTCAGCCCAGCTTACAAAATACTCCCAAAAGAACAGCAAAAGAGCCATATTCTACTTCTCCAGCTATGGTGTCTCAAAGATACTCTCCTTTTCCTTCCTGTTTACTTTTGTTCTCCCCAGCAAACATCACAGGAATGTTTTACCACCACTGTGACTCAGATGCTGTGTGTAGTAGAGGGTGCTTGTGAGAGACACTGAGTATGCCAGTATCCAGTCTCTCACTGCATTGCATTTGCTGAGGCTCATTTTCCAAGATGCTGGTATCCCAACAACAGGATGTCAGGGGAAAAAAATTAGGTAATATCACGATATTTTCCTACTGAGTGGAAGAAAAGATTGTGCAGAGGTAGTACCTAGTGCTACTTACTATTTTAAACCCTGGGTTTAGGTTAAGGTTTTAACATAAGTTTAAAGGTTTCAGATTATGATTGTCCTTTAAAATGTTGATATGATTTTGGATATATATCCAACTCCCACTGCAGTTTGAATCAGGATGTTAACAGCATCAGTGATACTTTCAGTTTCTCTGCTAGGTTCTGGGAGATGATAATTTTAAGAGGATGAAATTAAATGTAATTTTTTTACTAGAAGAGTTTGGTCATTTGAATTTATCCTGCAGTAATAATCAATAAGAGCTTAATGCCATGAGTTAGGCTGCCATACACATAACAATACAGCAGAAATGCACTTAGCTTTCAACAAACATTAAAACCCAAGCTGTAGACAAAATAATTTCAGATGAAGTAAGCTAATCTATGATGTGTAGACTTTCTTTCCTATATAACTCCAGCATAAAAGGTTTTGACTAGCACTGTCCCAGCCTGCATAGTAAATGGTGGATAATTCCAAGTGCTTGTTGATGCATGCACACCATCTGCAGGGACTGGGCAAAGGACATCTTCTCATTTTGTGCAGACTCTGATGCAGGTGATTTACTATGACTAGCCTGGTATGATCAAGAAATAGGATTCTTTTTTCTCCTTTCCCTCCCCAAATTATTGTTCTGAAATTGAAAGAGGCATTAGTTCTTTCAGAAGTATTTAATTCTTCCCATTTTGAAAATCTGGGGGTTTAGTTGTCGTAATATAAATAGACAATAAAACCAAAAAGTAATTCTACGAGGCCTTTGTTTTTATGCCTTATTGAGTTGTTCAGCTACATTTGTAAACATAAAGATTTTTAATTTGGCAACTGCAGCTGTGTTGTGCAAGTGAGACCCAAGGCTGCCCAAATGCTGATGGCTCATTCCTATCTTTCTTACCTCTTCAGCTTTCAGAGAGTATGTTGTAATATTTCTACTATAGTACCATGTAAACTGTATTAACTACAATTATGCAGTAGGAAAAGTCCTGCTATGCTGACTTGATAAAATAATGAAGAGCATGAGTGGGAGCAACTACCACCAGGAAATATTGGCAAAGATAATAGTCCCTGTACAGTTCAGTACAGCTTCCCTATAGATTTTCAGGCTGAAGAGGTTTTGTGGATAAAGATGGGAAGAAAGTTCCTGTTATTTGGTATGTAGAAAAAAAATGTGGGGGGCACACAAGTTTTAAGACTTTCAGATAGACATTTAAAAAAATTCTGTTAAATGAAAGAACTTAAATGTCTTCACATCACAGGATCTTTTTTTGTTCTATGATGTATGCTTTCCTGTCCCTTTTCCAAGTAATTATGGACCTTATAATTTGTCAAATTGTAAATATTGGACATAATACAATGCTTCCATCTGGACTTGAGGAGAAGGAAATTTTATAAATGCTGCTTATTTTAGTGCAGACCTTGGGAACTTGTGGCCTCTCTTCTCTGAAACATGAAATAGGATTTAAAAGCATTTGTGTACCAACCTGCACCTTTAAAAAGACAAACAAACCCGAGTCATTGAGGGTGCTGGCTGCACTTGTCACTGGAAGGGAATTTACATAAGAAAACTGAAACTCTGAGGACAGTTTATGGCCTTGCAAGGCAGGATTGAACTGTGTTTATGTCTCTCTAGCTTTGTTTGTTTTGTTGGTGTTTTGGAGGGTTTTTATTTTTTTGATGGGGGTTTCTTAAATACAAAGTAGTTAAACATTAAAAAAAAAAAAAAAAAGAAGCTGCTCAGTTTTAGTACCTGCTTGGGGAGTATCAGTGAAGAGTTCAGTTTCCTGGAAATTTTGCAATTTCCACATCATAGTGGTACTGTAAAGGTTAAACATCTCTTCAGTCAGTAGTCAGTGTTACAGTGCTATTCCTGAATACATTTCAGAGTCTGGCAAAGGCTAAGTTCCCAGTACATTAGCAGGGTTCACATTGCTGAGCTTTTACACAGAAAAATGATTTCTCTTGCAAGTAAAGTACAGAAACATTTTGAATGTAGCTTTTGTGTCCCTTTGGCTCCGTAGCTTTGGAGGTGTGTGGCCAGATGATGACCTCCAGTGCAGGGGGTCTGACTGGGAGGAGGATGAAATGGGTGGTTGTTCCTTGAATGTTCTCTACAGGCCTGTAAGGGTTGACAGTTTTGTTATGCTGAAGTCCAGCACAGTCCCAGACTGGTTTACTGTGTGTGCACTGTTTTGCAGTGCTGTGACAAAGCAGGTGTCTGTAACAAAACCAAAACCACCTGAAAACCCAACACCACAACCCGTGCCCTGCTGCAGAAGGGGCATCCCATATTAGGTGGAACTTCTAGCAAGAGCAGTAAGCATTGGGAACTTCAACAAGAGGACAGTCCATGTACCCATAGAAGCCTGGGACTCTTGGAGCTGCAGTTCAATTCCAGGTGCATATATTTATTTTTCAAAGTGAGGAAAAATGTCTTGGTATATCCCTTGAAATTCTACTCATTTCAGGAAGATGAGGAAAATATTTATTAGCAAGACATCAAGAAAACTAAGAAGGAAAAGATGAAACTTAGAATATTCCATTCATTTTCACATAATTATTTACCTGCACTGACAGTGAAGCTTAAATTTAAATTTGTCCTTCAAAGGGTCTTGTGTTCTTGGCAGTTCACACAGCATACCTAGGGCTAGTTCAATTTCATAACTTTTAATAGAGAAAAGGGAAAACGTTCGTATTTTATCAAGTGTGTGAAAGGACGTCTTGAGTTAAACACGGTGGAGCAGTGAGGTGAGATTATATCATTCCTCAAGGACTGCACTTTTTTCATTTTTTGCACGTTAAAAATTCAACAGCTTGTCAATCATACGTCAACTTTTTTGAAACACAGGTAGAGTACAGAAGATGGTCTATATGGATAGGTTATATTTGGGCATGTGTTGTGTTTCTTGGACTGTCTCTAACTAGCACTGGCCAAAGGAAAGAGGAGCACTAGTGGTTGAAAAATGCTGTAACTGTGTAGTGTCTGGCTTCAATTTTTTATGAGTACATTGTATTTTGTATTTGCTGCCTATATCTAGAAAGAGATAAAAAAGAAACCCCAAACCTGGCCTTCACATTTGTTTGAAGTATATTGTGTCCCTCAGTCACCAGGTGAAATTCCCCAGAGCTCTCATTTGAAAGCTCCCTGGAATTTGTAATAGTTTTGATTGGTCCTGTCTGTTGAAGAGATGTTGACATAAAGGAAGGTATAGGTGTTTTATAAAGAATGCCACCTGCATTTCTCAAATGTTTACGGTCTCATTTCTGCTGTGTAATCTCTGTGATTGATGACTGGGCAACTTAACTGAATGTTAGCTAAAATGCCAAGTAAGGTAGTTGTGATTTAAATAAAGCAATTATTCTATGAAATAGATAAAATGTTTTCCTGCTTTACGGTGCACTCTCCTAAAAATTAGCTGTTTTGGACTAAAAGCAAGGAAAAAGTTATATCTTTACTGTAACAGTAAGAGCTCTGATTCAATATTTAAGAGAATGCTTGACTTAAAATAATAATCTTTCAAGTTTTGCAAAAAAACTAGAATCAATGCTAACTTTGTACAAAACAAAAAAAGTAAGAAAAAGCATCTTTGTTCTTTTTACCCATTACTGTGCAACATCTTTGGTTTGAAGAGGTGTGTATGTTTATATCTGAGATAGATCTTTTACTGTGAGTTAGTTGAATACACCAAGTGAATGTTTTGGGCAGTGGCAGGCAGCAGGTGCAGTGGGAGCAGGGCAGAGGCCCACGGGGCCACTGGCATGGCAGGTACAGCTGTGCAGAGCCTGGGTGCTTGATGGCTCATGGCTCTCTGGTCTGGGCCATCCCTCCCCTCAGCACCTTTTGCTCCAGACACCCCTCAGGAAAGAAAAGACTTAGGCTTACGTGGAGCAAGTTGCCCAGAGAAGGTGTGGATGTCCCATCCCTGGAAGTATTAAGGCCAGGTTGGATAGGGCTTGAGCAATCTGGTTGCTTGAGCAACCCTACCCTAGCAGAATCATAGAATCATAGAACCAGCTGGGTTGGAAGGGACCTCTGAGATCATCAAGTCCAGCCCTTGATCCAACACTGCCGTGGTTCCCAGACCATGGCACTGATGCCACATCCAGTCTCATCTTAAAAACTTCCAGGGACGGAGAATCCACTCCCTCCCTGGGCAGCCCATTCCAATGGCTGACCACCCTCTCTGTAAAGAAATTCTTCCTAATATCCAGCCTAAACCTCCCCTGGCACAGCTTAAGACGGAGCCCTCTTGTCTTGCTGATCGCTGCCTGGGAGAAGAGACCAACCCCTACCTGGCTACAACCTCCTGTCAGGGAGTTGTAGAGAGTGATGAGGTCTCCCCTGAGCCTCCTCTTCTCCAGGCTGAACAACCCCAGATCCCTCAGCCTCTCCTCGTAGGACTTGTGCTCAAGTCCCTTCACCAGAAGGGTTGGAATGAGTTGATCTTCAAGGTCCCTTCCAATGAAACCATTCTACGATTCCATATTCTATGATATGATATGTGATATGATATATGATTCTGTGATAAGCACTAGTACAAATACAAGGGAGGAAACAATTACCAGTGGTGCTTTCTAGCAAGGCAGCTTAATAAAAGTTATATCTTGACCTAAGATTCATTTCCACTTGTAAACTTGTAGGAGTTTCATATTAAATGTACTAAGAGGGCTTACAAATGCAATTTGTAACAATAAAATTACTACCAACTCCCCGTAGCAGCTTTCTTTCAGGTGCATGGGCAGTGATTTCACTTGGCTTTAAACCCTGTACTCCTTTAAAATCCCTATGAATAAAGAAATAAAGAAAAGATCAGGATGGGTTCAGAGGTCCAGGTTCACTATATTAGGATGTTCTCTGGAATTCTATGAGCTGCAGAAAAAAATCAGTATTATCTGTAAAGTATCAAATGTGACCCACAACTGTGGCTTCCAGTGTCCTCTGCCAGTAACACAGACAAATTAAGTGAAAGTTAACTCCACTAACCCCTGTTAAGCTCCAGAAAGTGTCCTGGTGAGAGGCTTACTCCATGCTCCATGATTAACTTCCTGCCTTTTTGCTTTCTACATTACTGATCCCTTGAGTTCTTAGCTGAATGCACTGGAGCCATTAAAACCTAGGTGGTATGGTTTCAGTGTTGTTTAGCAAAATTGGTCCTGGCAGCATTAGTCTGTGGGGAAAAAAATGGGGGTGGGATGGGGGGCATGGAATGACCTTTTATTATTTTAACAAAGTGATCTTGGCCTATGATATTTAGGGGAAAACAAAGAATCAGGAGGATTTAGTTTAGTTATTATGTGGTTTTGCCTGCAGTAATGGATGGCTACAGCACTGCCTTTTACTGAAGGAAGTGAATTTGATTTTGGTGTATGTCTCTGAAAATCTTAAAGTATATGTAACAAGAAGTTCTAAACAGATGATTAACAAAGAGGTGCTTCCTACAGCATCCTGATTTGTCCTGGCTTCTCCACAGGGATAAATTACTCTATTGGTAGTTTTTTCCTAAACCTCCTGTATGCTACATAGTGTGAGTTGGCTACACTACTCACTTTTCACTGGTCTAGGTGTTTGATCCCTTTTAGTCTCTGATGATGCTTTCAGCAGGTGCCATGGAAAACCTCAGCCCAAATGGTTAAGGTTTACTGAAGTTACAAGCAAGTGAAACACTCCCAGAGAGAGGTGCGAGGGAGCTCCAGTGGTAGAGTTGCTCCAGCTGTGCTCTGGGATCATGGAATCACAGAATCACAGAATGGTCTGGGTTGGAAGGGGACTTTGAAGGTCACCTAGTTCCAAGCCCCCTGGCATGGGCAGGGACACCTTCCACTAGACCAGGTAGCTCAGAGCCTCGTTCAACCTGGCCTTGAACAGCTCCAGGGATGGGGCATCTACAGCTTCCCTGGGCAACCTGTTCCAGAGCCTCACCACCCTCACAGTAAATAATTTTTTCCTAATATCTAATCTAAACCTACTCTCTTTCAGTTTGAACTCATTCCCTATTGTCCTGTCACTACATGCTCTTATAAATAGTCTTGCCCCATCTTTCCTGTAAGTTCCCTTCAGGTGTTGGAAGGCCCCAGTTAGATCACCCTGAAGCCTTCTTTTTCCAGGCTGAACAATCCCAATTCTCTCAGCCTTTCCTCATACAAGATGTGCTCCATCCCTCTGATCAACTTGGTGGCCTCCTCTGGACTCACTCCAACAGATCAATGTCCTTCCTGTGTTGGGGACTCCAGAGCTGGATACAATATTCCAGAAAAACGAATACATGCATTTCTGATATACTGTTAACAAAAAATACCCCTTTCAAATGGTCTTTCATTCAACTTCTGCATTAAAATTCTGTTAGCACAATGTTTTGCTGAATTTTATCATAAAACTTGCTTGTCATCCATGCAAACTCAGGGACCCCATTTTAGGTGATTGACTGCAGGACTGAGAGCATATTCACAAAAGCACAGAAGTCCCATTAACTTCAGACTTCTACTATGTCCTGAGTTTTTATGCTAGAACAGCTAAGCACTTGTTTTCTCTATTTCTTCCCTTTCAGAACGCCAGTACTGGGGCTCAGACCTTCAACTTCCCAAAATACCTTTTGAAGAAATCATGTACAATGATGAAAGTGCATACAAGTGGCTGTGCACCCTAAAGAAAGTAGGAATTGTTCTACTGACAGGAGCTGCTACAAGGCAGGGAGAATTGATTAAACTTGGCCACAGGATTGGGTTCCTGCGCCTCACTTTTTATGGGTGAGTTTTGTTTTTTAATACCTTTGCTTTGCGAGCTTTGTAATCACCTCTAATGTTCTTCATTTAAGCTTGCTGGATCTATTTTGTGGATTAAGTTATTAAAGCAAGGTGTATGGGTTTTTTCTCTGTGCGTTAGAAAATCTGGCATCAAGTTTATATTCTGTACAAGAGGATTGCTTTGTTGTCAGTGGCAGGGCAGAAAGATGTAAAGAAGAGCAGCAGTAACCTTAGCTGCTGAGAGAAGGAGAAGCATCTGAAACCAGATGATGTCAAATATAAGATAACAAAAAGATAGAGTTACTTATCTATACCATGGAACAAAACCAAAAATCCCTAATCCACTCCCCTTCTGAAAAGAGGAAGTTATCTGTACTGAGACTTTTTCTTAGTCTGGTTTGGAGTCACAGAAATAGGTAAGGCTTAGATGATGCTATTGTGGCTCACATCACCAAGAATATGGGCAGAGTACCCCCTTCCCTGCTTTCAACAGTCTGCTCTGAAAAGCCATAACCAATCCCAACAAGCACAGCTCAGTTGCAGGAGTGCAAGCAGGAACTTGTGAATCATCCTTTTGATGCCAAGAGGGAGTAAACTGCACCTCTAACTCCTCAAGCACCTTACTAGGTGGGTAGACAAATGAGGATGGCAGCTCACATCTTACTGAGCTGAGTCAGTGACTTCCATCTAGCTGACTAAAGAAGCAGTGTTATTAGCTAATAGGTATAATAATTTTCATCTCTGGAACAGGATTTAATTTCTTATTGGCATCCAGTTCTGGGGTGGCTTTTACAACTGTAATAAAATAATAACTTTGGGTAATTTCCTTGCTGTTTCACTGGCAGCCAAATACAAGGCCTACCAAATATTATAAATAAAAGGATAAACCTGGAACTGGCAAGCTTGCCAAATAAAACATTACCTCAGAGCCATGAATTTTAAACTAAAATGTAACAGAAATTAATATAATTCTGACACATGGGGAAAAAAAAAGCGCCTTTTTTCTTGTCTAGATGTGTGCTTGGTGCAAGCTCCCTAAAATGTCATTACTGTAAAAAGTGGAAACATTCTCTGTACCAGCCACATGACAACATCAAGGGTTTCCATGCTTTTAAATTAACCTTTTTCTTTCCCTTAAGGGGAGGCCAACTCCATTAACAAAGTCTCCAGTCATAACACAGTTAATTTCTCCAACTTCTCATCCTCTGAACCTCATGTTCCTCTGTTCTGAAGCCTTGTCCAGTCCTTGGTGTGGCATGAAGGCCGTCCTTCGGAGCACCAGCACTCCCATGGAAACAGCCAATCCATCTGTATACCCCAGAGGGCTTCAGTGGCAAGGGGACATGGGCCCCAATTCTCAAATGAGTGAGACATGGACTTTTAATGAAGTGCAAGACCAGATGATTCAGATGTGGCTTCAGTTGCCAGTTCAGCAGTTTTGCAGGACTAAGGATGTAACAGCCTGTTTTTCTGCTCAGGGATACTGAGCCCCTGTTGCTACTTAATGCAAAAGATTGCTACATCTGCTTGGTGCCAATTTTCCTGCTCTGTCAAACAGCCTGAGCAACGGGCTTTGAAATCTGACCTTAATTACTAAACCACAAACCATTCCACCCAGCTTTGCTCTCCCTAAAGGCCAAGAGTCCTCTGGCATTACCTGCATATTCTTCCCTTAGTTCTTGTGTGCTCTCCTCATGGCCGAGTTGACGCTTCAGCTCAGTTGAGACTAAGACAAAGTGAAGTTGATTTTTTCACATTCAGTGCTCAGCTCCCTGTTAGCATCTCTGACTTCAAGTCAGTAACTTGAACTTTGACCAAAGCTCTCTGTATGGAAGGAAAGCTCCAGGGGACCAGATCCCCTCACAAACCCTGCCAGCACAAAAGCACTGGCTGCTTTTGCAAAACCTTATAATGATTTTATAGAGTATTACCACTCCAGCAATTTTACATATTGCATATAAATAAGAAAATTAAAATGTTTTAATTTTTTTTAGAACCATCAAGTGACATTGTAGCCTATTAAATTAAAGATGGAGCAAACCTAGCTGCCCTCAACACTAAGCACAAGGATGATATAAGGGGCTGGTTTTTGGCTGTCAAATTTGGAACTGTGGAAGTGTGGTTGAAATTATCATACTTGAGTAGTGAGGTCATCTAGTGATGAATATTTGCTGTACCAAATAGTAAAAACTATTTCTCCCAGGCAGTTAAACACGTTTGCAAATATTCAAGGGGCTTTTCCCTCTGGCAAGTGAAGAAATTTAGTTTTAGCATTTTGCATAGTTTCTATACTAAATACCACTCAAAACCGACAAACAAAAGCGTTTGTGTCCCGTATATAAATAATTTTTGTCCGCATATTCTCTAGCATATTTTCTTTTTAAACTGTTTTTAAGAAGTAAAGCTAGACATACACCGTCTGAAACTTAATATATTTGGTCTACAGTATTTCACAAGGGAAAACGAGCTTCATAATTCCTTTTAAACCACTTACACGCCTGCGATTACATGGGCTGCGTATGGTGACCCACACTTTTTCAGACATATGTCTGTAGCTATAATGTGCATCTGCTGAGGACTGTCTTCAGTCGTGTGAACTTTGTACGAACAAAACCTGTGGTTCTTGGTCTTAAATCCTCCTGCACGGTGTATCACTGGAAACACATCTTGTTTGTGCTGCAAGGTGAAATATTCGCGTCTTCGTGGTACCACCGTGACCTATTTTTTTCACTGCAGTTGTCAGAAAACATTTTTACTGAATTTTGTCAAATTCCAAGACAATTTGTGTAACCAAATAAACGGGGCTAGAGTGTGTCACCGAAAGGGAAGAAGTTTCAAAATCTTTCATCCAGATATTTCCTCCAGCGGCAAGTCTTGGAGTTAGAGGAAAGATCCCCCTGCAGATAGATACTCTATATTTTCTAAGGTTATAAAACCTTAAAAATAAGTTTTGGGGAAAGTTACATAGCCTTTATCAGTTTTATACTTCACTGATAATGTGCTACATGTGGCAGAGGAAGGTGGAAGGTTGATAAAAAGGAATGGGCCAACTTCAACTTGCTTCTTTCTGAAGCCTCAGCACTAAGATGATGATTTCTCCTGGCAGAAGCCTCTTGGTTTGTGTCTTCAACTGGCCTTTACATTCAGCAAAGAGCCACCACTGGAAAGCCATTGTTCTTCTAGGTACTGCACTGGGGACAGATGTCCCTTGGCACACTGAAGTTTATCTAGGGCTGCTGAAATAAGCCTTTGTTGGGGTGGAGAGACACTGCTAAATCCTGATTTCTTTATAATGTTACAGTATTTTCATGTTCAAAGGTGAAATTACTCTTTTCTGCTGTGATTTCACAGTTCCAGTGTGTACTGTCTGGCATGCTGTTCCAACATGTTTTCTCTTTTCCCTTTCATTATAAAGGCCAACTTGGCAAGTGCAAGACAAAGCAGATGCTAACAATGTAGCTTATACAACTGGGAAACTGTGTTTTCACACTGATTACCCTGTTCTGCATCATCCACCTGGGGTGAGTTGAATGTACCGACTTTTTCAGCCCACAAAAGGGGAAAGGGAAATGTTCCTATAGTGTGAAATATGTTTAGCATTCAGTGACTCTGAATTTTGTCTTAAAAGAGCAATGTAAAAATAACAATGTATTAATACACGTATAATATAGTATATACACATGGGCATGCAATATATGCAGTATGATGTAAATTCAGCATAATAAGCCCATTATATGTCCCATAATGATTAAATTAAATTCATGAAGTGTTGAAAATATTACCATATGAGAAAACTTCAGAGTCCTGTGTGTGCTTTGAATACTGCTTTCATTATATTACAAAAGGTAGCTGTCTAAATGCTATAGTCAAGTTGTGACTTTTTAGGACTCATCTGTTCAGTTCAGGAGAGGAATAGAGGAAGAAATATTATTAAGATGGTATACTCTGTTTTCTGTGAATTGATACAAGATAGACACTTGTTTGCCCTTTCATAACAGACAAAAAAAAAGGGCCATTCTTTAAAACTGGACAACCACAAAAAATATGTTTTCACCCTGTCATATCAAAGTGTAGTCTACATAATTCACATAATTCCAGAGAACTGGAAAGTAGTAGAAACAGGTAAAAAGAAACAAAGACAATGCTGGAAAAGTTTGCACCTATAAAACTTCCCCTTCTCTTGCTGTGGAGTACTTTGTTGTTTCTGTGCTTAAAGAAAAAGCCAATGTGATTTACCCACAGGTAAGTACTAAATTCTTCACACTAAGATTACCTTTTCATCATTTAGATACTGTTGATGTAGAGTAAGAATGGAACAGCACTTCATTAATAGAGAGCAGATGTGAATTATCTCATTGTCCAGTCTGTGCCAAAGCTCACACTCTGCTATGAAACATGAGAAAAAGAGTGTAACGTTTTTCATTCAAACGTGCTTGTAAGAAATAAAAGTATTAAAGTACATTGAATTGTTTATGGACATTGTCCCAAATGTGCAGTTTTCTTTATATATCTAGTTATTACACAATACTTGAATTCTTTAAACGTATTTATTACAAATATGCGAAGGCCTGTGTTTAAAAGGATAATGATTAGTTTCAGAACTGTCCCATAAAAATTGTTTTAGGATTTTCTAGGACCATAACGTGACTTACATTACTGCAGCCCTCCTTAGCAGGGCCAAGCTGTGCTTACCCTGTGCAAGGCCAGCTGTGGCCACAAAAGAACCTGTTGCCTTGTGCTCCCTTCAGTGGGAGCCCTGCCCACAGCTTCAGTTTCCCCCTTCATCACCATCAGCAAGGTCTGTGGGTCCAGCTGGTAAGGAGAACAAACCTTCTTCTCTGTTCCTCTTTCTCCTGCTGAGGTTTGTTGTGGGTTTGGTTTGTTTGGTTTGTCGTTTTGCTTTTGGTTTTTTGGTTGTTTGGTTGTTTGGTTTTGGTTTTTTGTTGGGTTCTTTTTTAATTCTCCTAGTGATCTCAGAAATAATTCACCAGCATGGAAGGGGGGCCAAGTGACAAAGGTAACAAGCTTTGGTGTGACGGGTGTATTTTGTGTCGTTTGCAAGACGAGCGATTACACTGTGGGTGATGCTGGACTCTCTACAGCCATGGGGACTTTTACTGCTTGTGTCAGCAGTAAAACTACACCAGTGCCCAGTTTAGGCTTTCTGCTCCGTCCTACACCTTGGCAAATTCACTCTGAAGTGAAATGAAACTGTCTTAATCGTACTTTGTGAGAGAGACACTGGGCCTGTTGCCTTCTCTGACAACCACCTTTTCCTTCTATGAGTGGACAGTTCACAGCAGGTGTTGTTTTTGCAGGACAAAGCTAATCCTCCTTTTTGACATAAGACCTCAGTGCATTTAAAACTATGTGACTGCCACAAAGAGGGACTCTAAGGAAAGAAGCAAGACCACTTTGCCACTGACTTCCAGGTTGCAGCCATTAGAGTATAGCCAAAAGGGGATGGATTTATGAACACGCTGCTTTAATTTTCTTCCTTTGTGGTAGTGGTGGCACAGTGTTGTGAAGCTGCAGTAAATGGGAACTCAGGCTTTCACTGGGAAAACAACAACAACAACAACAAATCAAAAAAAAAGAACCACAGCTATGAGGGAACTGATACTAATGAGCTGTTAAATATGCAAGCTAATTACTTTTCTAAATGAGCCGTTAATTCATTCCAGGTCCAGTTTCTCCACTGTATAAAGCAAACAGCTACAGGAGGTGAAAGTGAGGTTGTAGATGGATTCCACGTATCCAACAAGCTGAAGAAACAAAATCCTGAGGCATATCAGATCCTGTCCTCTACTGCTGTAGACTACACCGATGTTGGGGTGGACTTCTGTGATTTTGCTGTGCACTGTAAACAAAGGATTATAGAGTGAGTAGTTTCAACGAGACCTAAAAAGAAAATCCCTGTTGTGTTGTGGATTACATTTGGGTAGAAGAAGGTCTGCTCCTGCCACCTTGTGGGAAAACACTGGTTTAACTTGGTCTGCAGTTTTGGGTTTTGGTGGGGTTTTCTGTTTGTGGGTTTTTTGCCAACGTGTGACTTGTTCTGTGCATTGTTCCACTTATTTGCAAGAAGTGGTGGTAATTAGAGCAACTCCTTGGCACAGGCATGGGTTAGCAGCAGACAAGTCTGTTACTAAATGCCGGCCAATGTGACATCTGTATCATGCCAAAGAGAGGCCATAATTTGAAACATTTAGATTAAGAACTACATACTATCAAAAGATCAAATGCAAACGTTCATATTCTTTTCTGATTTTAAAAAGTTTATCATTCTACAATTAAAGGGTATGTAATATAGATTTTTTTGAGAATTGAGTGTCTACACTTTCTCCCGATTATCCCTTTTCCTGATTAGGTTCAATTATCAAAATTCAACCCAATAACAATCTGAATTTCACTATTGAAACATACTGACATTCCAGCAGGAGAGCTCAGTTGTTGTTTAACCATGTTACCATGTTTCAATAATATCAGAATACCTTTCTTTCCTCCCCTCCCTCCCCTCCCCTTTCCCTTCCCCTCCCCCTTCCCTTTTCCTTCCTCTTTTTCTTTCCTTTTCCCTTTCCTTGCCTTTTCCCCTTCCCTCTGTTTCATAGCATAGATTCCAGAGGCCAAGCAGTTCGCATCAATTATAATAATGCAACAAGAGACGCCGTGTTTGACATACCAGCTGAAAAAGTGAGGCCATTTTATGCAGCTCTAAAGGAATTTAATGATTTATTAAACAGTGCAGAACACAAGTTTACTTACAAGCTGAAACCAGGTCAGTAAGTTGCTTCTCCTCTCAACAATTTTTCACATGTTTTTCCTAACTGTCAAAACCCTTGAGCATTGTCAGCACTGAGAGGAAATTTCAGTCCTTCTCTCGACTGTTTTATTTCATACTGCAGTCTTAAGCTCATCTAATAGATTACTTTTGCCATTGTTACAGTATAAAGAAATAAAAATAGGGGGGGAGTAGAGTCTTTCTATTGATTAGTCCATTGTATCTTTATGCAACATACAAAACTACATTTTATACAAATACAGTATTGGAAATTGATATGTCCATAGCACCACAGATGGGAAATATACTTCTTGTTTCATTCCCCAGCTATAAAATAAAGATATGAATAGTCCCTCATCTCTCAAGAGATGTTACAAAAGTAGATTCATTAGTGTATCTGACTGCCTCATACTGTGATGTTAGTGTCTTTAAAATGTCTATGAGGAAATTAATCTCTTGCTCTTGGGAACATGCAATAAAATAATGTGTAAGATCACATAATAAACAGTGAAACAAAGTACCTTACATTACATTAGTGACATCCATCCTATTGACTAATGCACCAAAATGGTGGTAGAGGGAATTGGGAGAAGAAAAGAAAGACTGTAAGGTTATTTAATTAGAGATTTATCACAACACTGGCACACAAGGGAGACAAATTAAATTTGCATTCCAGCCTTAATTCAGTGATTTCCTAACTTTCAATGGCTTGACTTTGTTCTCATAGAATTCTCTTAACAGGGATAGTAGCACAGGATGTGTTCAGTACAAATAATACCAGACTGATCAAATAAAAAAGCATCCGAGTGGCTTTCACCCATTTTATTTATTTCACACGTTTTTATTTGACTCGTGTGTATTTGCTGTAGTTGTCTTTCTCCTCAAGGCTTGCTTTTCTCAGCATGTGCTCTCTACCACTCTGCTTTTTAAATCCTGGTTATACAAGAAAAGAGACGTCAAAAAGGACCTGCCCTCTGGTTGAGAATGACCAACTAAGTTAAAATTACTGTGTTGTTGGTGCTGTGTTGTATCTCCAGCTGAGCTACTTGAAATTACTGCTCCCTAACTGTTGATGTGAGCCTACCTCCCTGTCTGTTTGAAGGAACCCACTCTGACATTCCAGCTACTGAACTTGGTGCCATCTCTTTCCAGGAGACATAGTGACGTTCGATAACTGGCGCGTGCTTCACGGTCGCCAGAGCTACCCCTCGGGTTCAGGAGTGACACGTCACCTGGAAGGTGCCTATGCAGACTGGGATGTGGTCCTGTCACGGCTCCGGCTCCTCAGGAAGAGGGTCCTGAAGAGGGACTGAGTTTTCTTCGGACTGGAAGGAGCGAAACGTGGATTGTCTAACCTCGATGACAACGACACCGGAATCAAAAAATGGAGTCTTCTTTTCAGAAACTAACGTCGCTTTTGACAAGGGCTTGTCATTGAACAAGGGGAATGGCTTTAAACTGACAGAGGGGACATTTTGATTAGATATTAGGAAGAAATTCTTTACTGTGAGAGTGCTGAGGCCCTGGAACAGGTTGCCCAGAGACTCTGTGGATGCCCCATCCCTGGAAGTGTTGAAGGCCAGGTTGGGTGCAGCTTGGAGCAACCTGGTCTAGTGGAAGGTGTCCCTGCCCATGGCAGGGGAGTTGAAACAAGATGATCTTTAAGGTCCCTTCCAATCCAAACCATTCTATGATTCTGTCATAAATATATTTTTGAGTTCTATAAGCTAAGAAATGTGTTGTTCATAACAATTTAAGATTTGGCTGTGCCCTGGTCTTTGAATCTATAAATGTATTGCTACCTCTGTCAGTTTATTTGCTTTTTTAAAATCAGTGTGCAAAGTGGCTTGAAAGATTGTCACTTTATTGGGCTGACTGGGTATCACAACGCCTTCCTTTGCATCTACATATGTACCTGCCCTCCCTAGAAAGCTTGGAAGTCAGCATGAGAAAAGAACTTGAAGTATTATTTACTGAAGTTTTGTTATAAACAGCACCTTCCTCTATTTTCAGAGAGGCATTCTTTATTGCATAAATCATAACTAAAATTCACTATCAAAATAAACAACCAGTGCTGTAGTTTTTAAATACACACCTTTCAAGGTAGGACTTCACTATAATACATGATCTCATTGAACAGATGTCATATTCTCTATATCCTGCTGTACACGTCATGACTATCACAGCCATAAATATTTTTTCTTACATTTCCAAGTCCATAAGCTCAGAAACTATAGACTTATGAGCATCATATTAATGTTTCTCTGCATTAGGATGATAAATAAATCTCAGTGTAGAGGTCACAGGTAGGGTGACAGATGCTATGCACAGACCTCAGATCTGCACAGCAGACTTCTGAGTAATGTCAGGAGGAGGAACACAGAAGCTGCCTGGTGGCTAGAAACCCCAAAGCACAAGAGGTAGTTATGGACTTTGCACATGACAGAGAGAGGCAACTGAACCCAAATCCATTTTTGTTACTCCAGATAAAAGAGGACACCTCCAAAAGGTGTACATGATGTTTTTCTCTGCTCTGGATTCTGATTAGAGATTATGTTATGTAAAACTTACTGCAGCCAAAGTAGTGTGTTTTTTCCCTATATTCAGATGCCAAATGGAAAGAGAAAGAATTTCCAAATATTTTTTTTTTATACTTAACAATCCTGAGTTTATTTTTCAATGTCCTTACAGCTGCAGAGGTAACAGGATGCCTCTCACCATGCTGCGAGTTGGACAAAACAACCCCACCTCCACCCTGTGATCTCTCTGTTCAACTCTATATTTTCAAACTGTTCCCTCCAAGTCAAATAAATCCTAGTCTCTTCCTAGAAGAGTAACACAATAGAACCATAACTACAGAATTAAATAACTGTAGAATTAAAATAAGCTCAGGTTAGATGGAGCTCTGAGGTACGTGGTCTAGTGGAAGATGTCCCGATAGCAGGAGAGTTGAAACCAGATGATCTTTAAGGTCCCTTCCAACCCAAACCATTCTATGATTCTGTGACCTAACATCAGCTTGCAAACACTTTCATAGCTTCTACTCATCATTTACAGTCAACAGATAACAGTTGAATAATCAGATAAAACTCAATTAGGCACTGGTCACAGTGTGGTTTGAATTCCGCTTTATTAAATAGTGAAGTGTTTTTATCAAAGCTATGATACTAAGTGATAGTGTAACAAAACTTTTTTCAGGGGTAATTCAATTTCTCAGTGCCTCCTTTAATAATTAATTTTGGAAACATGAGGAAAGTATTTTTTTCTCTTTGCTATGAAGGAGGGAAAAGCTGAGGAAGGGTTAATACCTATATTCCAGCAGTGCTGTGCTTTAACTGTGATATTTTCTATATAAAAATGGATTGAAGATTGCAATTTATATTTGTAAAACAAGACATCTTGTGATTTATACCAATTGTTAATAGGAAAGAGATTTTCTGCCTTTATTCTGTACTTTTCTAAACACTTTTATTCAAATTTCTGTTTATTAAAAGCTCTTATGGAACTGATTACTGTTTTGGGCTTGTATCTAATCTCACATGTAACATCCTGCACACAGATATGAAGTTATTATTGTTAGTTACAAATATTTGTAAATATTATTAATCTGGATCCATTCAGGTTTGTCCTGTGTACTTAACCAATAGTTAAAATATAACTAAGCCCATATCTTTGAACAGAATGAAGTACAAATAACAAATCTAATCCCTGTAACGCCTCCATGAGCGATGGCAGTTAAACTGGAAAAGGGTCAGAGTACCCACACAGACGCTTCTTCTCCCATTGCATTTTGTAGCAGTGGATGCTGGATCCAATCCCATGGCACTTTTCATGTATAATTTTTTTAATAATTATATATATATATATATATCAGATTTCCAGTTAGTTTTTAAAGCTTGCTGAAAGTAAGTAGCATCTTGGGCGTATCAATACATTTCTGTGGATCACTCCAGCCACTGCTGAGCTACCTGAAGCATGGGCCAACTAACTTCTTTTGGCTGGTGGACAGTAAACCAGAGTCCATAGAGATCTCCCAATGCCTATTGTGGGAAGAAAACCAGGTTAGCTGCCCACCTTTTCAAGTTGAAATATATTGAGATATAGATATATAGATATATATATATGTCCAGATAGATCTAAAATGTTATTTGTGTATATATGTACACACAGGGTCATGTTACCCAGAGGCATAAAGGCAGATGCAGTTCTGTTTCACATTTGGGCTGTACAGGCTGCTTTTGTAAATTCAAATATATATTTATTATGTACTGTGTTTTTCTGTGCTACAGATCAGATAAAGTACTTAGTGATCTTGTCTCAAATTCTCCTTAAGGCAAATGACTTTTTATTTATAAAGCCAGCTGTCAGGGCAAGTCCATATTTGAAAGTTTCCTGCTGGAAATCTGAAATCACTTTTGGTCAAATCTAACATAAGCGATATATTTTAACACACATTTTAAACATACAGCAAAAGATCCCCCCCACCTGGTTGTGCCAGCCCAGCAGTGCAGAAAAAGATGGTAAAGACTGAGACACAGACAGAACACAAAAATCCCCTTTAAAACAAACAAACAAACAAACAAACAAAACCCCCAACCAAAGAAAAATTCCACGCCAGAACAAAACAAAAATAAAAATGAAAATAAATCACAGCCCATAAGAACCCTGTTTTTCTAGACAACATCTGATTAAAGTTGAAAAGGAAATTGTCAAGGCCTGGGAATGAGCTACATCACCTATAGAAAATAGCCATAATGTAAAAATTTAACTAAAGCAGAGATGGGGCAGCTATATGGGGGCTTTCTGCTGAAACCATTTTCGTTATTGGACATGGAGTGAGACACCAGAGAAGGGAGTGAGGGCATTTTGCAGCTACCCTTTCCACCCTGGTGCTGGAGCTGTGAGGTCCAAGGTGTGGGCAGGGGGGCAGTGCTGTTCCTCCTTGGGTCACGAGGGAGGGAGAGATGCATCTCCCAGCCTCCTGCAGCATCTTCTGCAGGATGGTGCTAGGGAACAAGAGAAGCAGCTGCAGCAAAAAAATGAGCCACTGTTTTCACTGGCTACTTAAAAGAGATCCATGGCAATTCAGAGTGGCCCCAAGGCTGCCATTCATTGGTGCCAAGGGCATGTGGTCAACCAAAGGATAAGGAGCTGCTTTTTTTTAGGGTATGAGCTGGCTTAGTTAGCAAAATATATTTAAAGAAATGTTTTATGTATTCTTAATTATTTTTAATATCAAAGGGGCCAATAGCTTTAGAGCAGGCAGAGGATTTTCTTTGTTGCCATGCCATGATACAAGTCTCAGGCCATTAGCTCAAGGAAAATAAGGCAGGACGTCTAAACATGTGGATTGCAGAAGGTGGTTGCTCTATCATCCTTCCTTTCCAAGCAGCCAGGAGGTCTAAACATGTGGATTGCAGAAGGTGATTTCTCTATTGTCCTTCCTTTCCAAGCAGCCATTTGGATCAATAACTACTCACATTGGCAATAATCAAGCTCTGCCTCTCTTTCAAGTTATATTTGGATGCATTCAAAGCAGCAAAGATCACAGACCAACAGACACGGAGAAGATACAGCAGTTTTCAGACTGCGTCATACTCAATTTCTGAAGTCTGGGCCTGCTGTTTTTCTTTAATCAAGCGGGAATGTTGTTAGGAAAATGTGCTGGGGGCCGTACAAGGACCTTGAAGGCAGCGGGTGAGGAGCAGCTGCTGCAGAGAGTGCTGCAGTGGGATACCTTTGAAACACTGCTCGTAATGGAGGAGCTGGTTAACTCCCCACAGCACGGCCGGAAATCAGCAGGACACAACTCCCTTGCTTCCAGCCACACCAGTCCATAGCTGTCTCCCATCCTTTGTTGTCTTCAATGCTGTGCTCACAACTGGGCTTTCCCACGCTGCTCCCTTGCAGCTTGGCTTTCAGTTTGATAAGCAAACACATGAGACCAGGGCAAGCAGGAGGAAAGTCCTATCTGTTCACTTTCTTGGCTCTTCTACAAGATTACCAAGTAAAACAAATGCTGCACAGCTGAAGCACATAATTATTTTTTGGCAAGAACTTAGAAGGATCCTTTCCTCATCTTTTGCCTTTCCCCCATGCCATGTGTCAGTCGTTCTCTTGCTGGTATATCCTACAAGGAAAGGGAGGCAATTCTGTGCATTGTATATGCAGCTTCTCCCTGACTTCATCACTTCCCTTCCCTCACAGTGGCACCCCTTTGCCCAGGGGCATGCATTCCACTAGATTCTGTAATACAGTGTCGTGGTTTAGGAATGGTTTTCTCCAATTTAGTACTCCTACTAAAACCACGCACCATTTCCTCTCCTCCCTCCAATTAGAGACAGAAAAGGCAAAGATCACGGGTCAAGACAAGAACAGTTTCCTGGAAACAGCAACGAGATAAGAAAATGAACATTAGCAACGACTGTATTAACAACAAAAGGTATAAGAAAAGAAACGATTTACATGGATATCCCCCATGTCCACTCTGTCCACCATGCTTTCAACTGGAAGGGACCCCTTCTCCCCTGCAGAGTCCCTT